GACTATAACTATTTCTAACCTTCTTCTAATCAAAGGGTAATGACTGACATAACAAGTCCCAGAAATGTGTGGGTATTATGTCATCCATATTGCTAACCAAGACTGAGACTTTCAGTCTCATACTCTTCTACAAGTAAGAACAGAATCTTCAAAACATGCTGTCAGAATAGATCACCTACAAAGAACATTTAACTGATATCAATGGTGGTCTCCTGTTCTTTGTCTAACCTTCCTTTGGGAAACTGCCCCTCACATTCCACTGTATTCCTACTTGGTTCCTGTTTCGTGAACCAAGATTCCTTTTGGTTCCCAAATAAGTTTGAGTTGGGTTTCTGTCACTTGCGACCCAAAAAGTCTGTTCTAAACTGCAAAATTTCTCCATTGCAATCTTCAGTTCAACAAGACACTGAGGAAACATTTACAGAGATGTGAAGGAAACATTTCCTCAGTGCAATCCAAGAAATTTTCAAGCCAGAATATGTATCTATTCCCATACGTCTATTTTTAGACCAACCCTTTCTCCTCATGTGCAACATCTAAATATTCAAATACCTACTTCACCAAGCTAGCTAATTCCTGTCCATCTCTTAAATATCACTTAATCCGAATCTCCTCTGGGGACCTTTTTCCTCCCATGAGTCCCACTCATACAGTGCCTTAACCTTCACTACCTTCTGAAACTCCAATAAAATACCAATAAAATTTAAAAGATTGGGGGGGACTTCAGTGTAACAAAATTTTAGAAAGTAGAAAGAATACATAAAGGGCTAACTAACTTAGAAAACCCTAGAAAGCTGAATCCTAGGCTGTCAATTAGGAAAACCAGAAGCAACTGGATTTACACTACAGAATCTGCCGAAACAGGCAGGAATTGGTCGCTTTGGGTTATTCTGGAAATGGAGGTGAAGATGGGGGGCTAAACTAAATAAGATTGCTTGAGAAGCTGTCTAATTAGATAATGTAAGAAATACTTTAATCCTACAATCCTCTTTTCAGCTCCACACAGCAACAGTAGCAGAAGCCTGGAGGTTAATTCTCTGGAGAGGGTAAGCTGCAAGGTCTAGGAATAGGGAGACAGCAGGCATGGTTGTTTACTGAAAACAGAAGGATCGAGGAAGATGCTTACTCAGTCTTGACATTCAGTAGCACACCTTTCTTTCTTACCTCACAGATGGGAGTTACCATACTAGAAGGAGGAATTAACCCTGATGTTCATGAGGACTTTGGGCTGCTGCTGCATAGTACAGACAGAGAGGGATATGCTTGGCACTTGGGTGATCCACTGGGGCATTTCTTAGGACTAAATGCATCAGTTAGGGCTGTGGCCCATCCCACTAACCCCCTTTGTATAAGTTTTTTAGAGGTTATGACCAACCAGAATCCTGGAGAAACCGTCGCAGAATGCAGTGAACCTAATGTGACAAATCAGTGGATCTGAGTGGTGCAAGAGGTAGACCATAGCTGTTAAAACATGGTGGCCTCCAACCAGAAAACTACAAGAGCTCATCAATGAATTCAGTAAAGTTACAGGATACAAATCAATATACAGAAATCTGTTGCATTTCTCTACACTAACAACAAATTATCAGATAAAGAAATGAAGGAAACAATCCAATTTACAATCACATCAAAAAGAATAAAATACCTAGGAATAGACCTACCCAAGGAGATAAAAGAGCTGTACTCCAAAAACTAAAAGGCGTTGATGAAAGAAATTGAAGATGACACAAACAGATGGAGAGATATACCGTGTTCTTGGATTGAAAGAATCAACATTGTTACAATGATCATGCTACCCACAGCAATCTACAGATTCAACGCAATTCCCATAAGATATACCAATGATAGTTTTCATAGAACTACAACAAATAATTTTAAAATTTGTATGGAGCTACAAATGACCCAGAATAGCCAAAACAATCTTGAGAAAGAAGAACAGAGCTGGAGGAATCATGCTTCCTGACTTCAGACTATACTACAAAGCTATAGTCATCAAAGCAGTCTGGTACTGGCACAAAAACAGACACATAGACCAATGGAACAGGATAAAGAACCCAGAAATAAACCCACACACCGGTATATGGTCAATTACTCTATGACAGAGGAGGCAAGAATATACAATGGAGAAAAGACAGTCCCTTCAATAAGTGGTGCTGGGAAAACTGGACAGCTACATGTAAAAGAATGAAATTAGATCATTGACTAACACTATATGCAAAAATAAACTCAAAGGGGTATAATTATTTTGCAAAACAATCTGGCATCATCTACTAAAGTTGAGCATACAGCTACCCTATGGCAATTCTGTTGGCTAATGACCTAGATGTAGAACTGCCATGTGAACCAAGAGACAGGACAACACTAGCTGTAAGAGCTCCAAACTAGAAACAACCTTTATTGTATATATTTCCTGACAGCTCAGTTTGATTGCTGTACAGTAATCCATTATATAATATATATTACAATTTATTTATCCACTGATTTTTCTCATAGAACCCTGACTGATACATTATCTATGCCAGTTCTTCCATGGAGGTGATTATCTTTTTTAAAAAAATTGGTTTGTAAGAGTTCTTTGTATGTTAAGGATATTAATCTATTGTCTGTCATACATGTAATGAAATCTTTCACCTAATTTGTTATTGGCCTTCTATCTATCTTTCTTTACAATATTTTGCCGTATGAAAGATCTATATTCTGATGCAATAAATTTATCAGTATTTTCACTCATAGCTTTTGGGTTTTAAGAAATGCTTAGCGTAGGTTTTGCACACCAAGATTATAAAAATATCGACTCATATTTTACTCCAATGTGTATATGGTTTCATTTTTGTTTAGACCTTGATCTGTCTAGAATTTATTTTTGTGTGTAGGGCTCTCACATCTTGCCACACTGACATGAATGTCATCTTCATCATGTATTGAAGTCCCATATATACACTATTATTAGCTGTGGTAGATACCATGTGGCAAGCAAAATATCTTGGAATTCTTCAAGCCCAAGAGGGTATGACTACCTTGAGGACGGATTTCAGTATCAACACAGTTGTTTATGCATAGCCAGAAGAAGTGTGCATGCGTAGCTGTCAGAAAGACTGGGGGCGGTCCACTGCAGTAAATGATATCATAAGGAGCAGTGGAATTCCATTTGGAACTTCAGAGACCCCAAAGGAAGACTCTGGCCAGCTTCTCCTGAAAGCTCTCTTGGCTCTAAGTCAACTTATGGGTAAGTGGCTTCCCAGTTGACACTGGTCTCTTTAAGCCCTATGAAACAGAGGATGAGTGTATCAGTTATAAATGTCTTAAGTAATACAAAATTCAAATTGGAGTTTCTTTTTCTCAGAGCAAGCAGTTAAAAGGTGGACAGAGAGAGGTGTTGGTTTGGTGGCTTGAAATTGTCAGAATAGATGTACATTGCCTCATGGCTGCAAGATGGCCCCTCCAACTTCACGTAACACTTAAAGAATATTCAAGGAAGCACAAAGGGAAAATGATAGCACCGACTCTTTCATCAAGACAGCAGAAAGTCTTCCCAGAAGCTACCTAGTAGATTTCTGTCAGGCTTCATTTTCTAGCTTCATTATCTAATGATGCCATGCAGCCACTGCTAGCAGCAAGATGGCTGGGAAAAGGAGGAGTCAGCTTTTCTAGCCTCTCTAGTTGTATGAAATAAGTGAAAAGGGTGTGAGAATGACAGGCAATGAGAAATGTCTGCCAAAATTCACCATGCATTCATTTATTCAAAAAAACTTATTAAAAGGGGGGAGAGTATAGCTCAAGTGGTAGAGCTCAGCTTAGCATACAAAGGGTACTGGGCTCAATCCCCAGTACCTCCTCTAAAAATAAATAAGTAAATCTAACTACCTCCCCACCAATATAAATAAATAAAAATATATAAAAGAAATTTAAAAAATTTTTAAACATTTAAAACTTTTAATTAAAAAAAACAAAAAGAAAAAAAAATTTATTGAGCATCTGAACACCCTGTGTGAACAAAACAGACCAAAATCCCTGCCCTCAAGGAGCTGACATTTTAATCAGGAAAGACATAATAAAATAAATAAGTAAACCAAGGGGAGAAGGCCTAGCTCAGCGGTAAAGCACGCGCTTAGCGTGCATGAGGTCTTGGGGTCAATCTCCAGTTCTGCTGTTAAAATAAATAAACCTAATTACCTCCTCCCCCCTAAATTTTTTAAAATAAAATAAACATGTGAACTATATACTATACTATATTCTGATGAAGTCCATGGAGAGACATCAAGCAAGTAATCTGATTAGGAAGTTCATGACATAATGATATGATTTTAATAAAGCCTTCTCAGGAAAATCGTCATTGAGAAGGTGATATTTGAACACCTGAAGGAGGTGAGAGAATGAGTCATGAGCAGATGGAGGGGAAAGCATTCCTTGGAGAGAGAATAGCAAGTGAAAAATTCCAAGGTAGGAGCCTGCTGGTTTGTTCAAGACGAAGTGAGGCTAAGTTCCACTCAAACATGGAAGTACGCAGTGGTAACTTATTGTTGCACAACAAGGACTTTTCTTTTGTGGCAGTACATGGGCACTGTCCCTAACCTAGTAATAAAAATGGCAGCAAGCAGGAAGCTCTGAACTCCTGTGATCTGGTGGATTACCCATCCATATCAGATTCACTGGCTCCAGAACTTCTTATCTGCTGATTCAGTAATAAATCCAAGTCAAAAGGAAACAAAACAAAAGAAAGACATGGGAGTGAAAAAGATGAGATCAAGTTTAGGAGGGAATGTCAGGTATCTTGTCTCCTACAGAAGAGTACATTTTTGTCTTGTGCTCTTTTGGGTCTTGGAGGGAGGGATGTGGTTCGCTTTGGAAGCTGTGTTCAGGATTCAAGAGTGTCAGTCAGTGAATTATTCTTGTGTTCATGACAGGTGAGAAGTTCTGCAGTTAAAAAGTAAACCACCATTTTCTAACTTTTCAGACAAAGCTGCTTTGGAAAGAAAACATCCACCCTTGGCATCAAGTCCATGGAACCCCAGCAGCTGCTGAGCGTTGGGTTTCTGCTGTGCTCTCTGACTTGCCTCTTGTTGGAAACTGTAGCTTCCTCTATGTTACCCTTATCTGCCTTTGGACTACAAGACAAAGCAGGATGGAATCCAGGCTCAAGGGGTGTGTTGGCTGTTAGGATGAATATTCCTATCTTCATAGGGTGTAAGATTTATGTCTCAGGTCAGGAAAAACTGCTTTGTATTTAAAAAATAATGTTTGCAGGAAAGCAAACTATTCTGGTTTCATTCCATTTAGTTCAACAAGCACTTACCCATCTACTGTGTGCCAAAGCCATAAACCTTCAACCTCTCCCTGGGGAGACAGAATGACCATTAAAGTGTAGGGGGAGGGATCGGGGAGGATTTGACAAAGGAAGTGAAATGTAGGCTAAACCTGATGACCCACTGATCCTTGGCCAGCACTGGAAAGCATGTTGCTGGTGAGTGGGGAACCCTCTTGACTCTTCCATGGGCACATTGGTTTTACCCACATCTTCCAGTGATCAGCAGACTCCCTCTAAAGTTCCTTCCGCCAGTTGCCCTGGCCTCTTCCTGCTCCAGATGAACAGGAGTACCTCCATCAAAAAAACAAAACAAAACAAAAAACAAGCAAAAAAGATATTTGGTCGAGGGAGAGTATAGCTCATTGGTAGAGTGTGTGCTGAGCATGCACAAGGTCCTGGGTTCAGCCCTCGGTACCTCTACTAAAAATAATAAATAAATAAACTTAATTACTTCCCCCCAAGAAATTTTTTTTAATTAGAAAAAAGATTTTTAAAAAAAATCTGTGGCAGAGATTATTGTTCCTATTTGACATCCAAGGAGACAAAGATGATACCCAACTAAGGATACCTTTTTTTTTTATGTGCATCCCTTTAACCTCTTAGAGGAAGCACAGCCAAGTAGTCAAGAATATGGGCTATGGGCAACTATGAGAACTTGATATCTGGGACAACCATCTGAACTTGAACCAGGGTTCACATCCCAACCACATTATTCCCTTGACCTCTCCTCAATAAACATCTCTGCTTTTCCTACAGAAAACCATAGGTCCTGGCTGAGCAACTTTGGGGATTACTTATGGGATCTGATCAAGAGCTCCATCCCTCCAGCAGCCATCTTGGCTTTTCTTATCACCACGGCAATCCTGGGGACCCTCTACTGCCTCACGTAAGCTGCCGTGGGATGAGGCGAGGAGACGGGACAGGGAACCAGAGGGAGAGACAGCAACAACCCAGTTCCCTGCCCGTCTGCACATCTGTCATTAAGGGAAAGTTTTAAGGAAGGTGATTCTGTGAACAAAACTCTGAAAGTGTTTTTCAACTGGAAGAGGAGAAAAGTGACACGATGGTTATTGAGCTGTGCAGGCCTGCACTTCTAGCTAACCTGATCTTATGTCTAACCTGCTACCCCTCCCTGTGCGCGCTTTTCTTGGAATAACTTATCCTTTTACCCTAGAGGTCTTGAAAGAAGGTCATGGACTGAACCTCAAGAAAATGGGCAGACCCTCCTCAATTCCTCCATAACCACAACAAATTCTTATCAGGATGAAAGGAATGTAGCCCCTGCTCACACCCTGACTGTCATCACCCCCCTGTTTCCATTTTTCTATAAAACCCCAAGACACTTAACCCAAGGCGAGCTCACAGTCTTTAACGCATTAGCCTGCTGTGACTCTCCTTGCCTGGCAAAGCAATAAGGCCATTCTTTTCCAATTCTCCCAAAACTTTGCCTCCAACTCTCAATTCAGCTATCGGGGTACAGAGGGCAGTTTTTTGGCAACACAACCCCCTTTTAAAAAGTCTCCTCATTCTTTTTTCTCCAACCTGCTCCATCCATTACCAACAGCTTACAGGTGACACTTAATCACCAGTGTTTGTGACTGATCATTTGTTTCACTAACTTCATTAACTCCCAATTATCCTTCCCTTTGATTTAGGAACTCTCAAGGAAAACATATGATGAATTGTGTTATCAATTGCCTCGCAATTTACCAAAATAATTATCTATGTAAATCATATGAAGCCAAAGAGATTCCTGAAATAGCAAACAAAATAGTTAAGCTTAGCTAGAAAAGCCCAAACTCCATTAATTCAATCACTATGTACCAAGAGATGACTACTTGCCTGTCTCTGTCCTGGTTGCTAGAGACAGAGAAATAAGATGATCGAATAATTGCAAACTGGTGAGTCAGTGGTGTGATGGGAGACAGAGTCCAAGTGGGGAAACCCATGAAAGTGTGGGATGGGGTTAAGAAAGGCTTTGTGTAGTAAAGAACTGTTGAAACTTCATAATCTAATAAAGGGGCTGAGGGCAAAGATCAGATTAAGGGTATGGCAATCCCAGCTAAGGCTCTTGATAACCTCAAGAATAACCCCAGATAAAGAACCATGTCTAGAAAACAACCTCTTCTCAAAAGGGAGCATTCCTGCTCCATCTCTGTACAGGGGGTGTGGAGATTAAGGGCAGATAACCTGTTTTCGGCTCAGAGGTCTCTTAACCAAGAAGAGCCACACCCAGACTTGAGGGAACCAGATACTCTGGACTTTGAGCTTGACAGAGTCATGATAGAATTTTAGTCTTGAGGGAAAGTTGTATCATGAATCAGGTGTTCTGGAAACAGACAGGGAGACAGGAGTTTGGTGGACAGGGTATTATCAGGAATCAGTGGCTGTGGAGGATACGGGAGGAAGAGAGAAACAGAACTGCCTTCAAGCCCAACAAAGCTTGGGTGATGCCTTCAGAGTTGTCCTACCTTTATAGCCACGTCTCTGATAGTTGGGAAGTGGGAGGCCCCAGGAAGTACAGGCAACTCCTGGCAGCTCAGGCAAATTCTGAAAGAGCTAACAGCTGAAGAAAGAAGGGTGACATATTTCTGTGTGCACAGTGGGGCAGCTGTGTTCCAGGTATGGAAGGAAGAGTGAAACATATCAGGTTGTCAGGAAGACAGGCTGTGCTGGGGACTGGCTATATGTTCACCAACCCTGTTACTTCCTCCCAAGCACAGAGGAAGACTGCATTTCCAAACAAAAGATGCCAGGACTCAAGTCAATATACAGTGGATTCCATATCTTTTAAGTCTGTGACTCAAATTAAGACCAGCAGGCCAGCTGCCTCAGGAACAGCAGAAGTATTGCTTAAACATGCAACATTCAGAGGGACTTCTGTAAAGATAAAGCAGACAACATGCCAAGAGAAATACTTCCTTCTTTGAAGTAAATGTCTCAACCTGAGGAGAAAAACCACTAAGTCTTTGCTGGGAACAAGTGAGATACAGCAAAACAAAGGAAGACATTGATGAAAAAATATTAAAGGAGATGTGGAAAACAGGCTACAAAAAGCTAGCACTATTAAGTAGAGATCAACAAAAACTTTAGTGAAAGTAAGATTAGAGAAAATAAATGATAGATGCAAGAGACATATAATGAATTTCGTGGTGGAAAAGAACCAAAGTAGTACAACAGAAAATACTTAAAGGTGTAATTTTTTGAACATTGCAGAAATAAAGTAAGGCTTGAGTCTATAATCACAAGGGCACATCAAGTCCCAGGAAAAATTGGCACTTGGTACTGGACACATCGTAGTTTGTCAATAACACTTGTTGATTTTTTATTAATACATTTCACAGTAAGGACTGCAAACAGTTTCTCTGTGACTCTTTATTCATACTCTATACACCACTAGCTGCAACTGTAATGAAGGCTTAAGCTAGCTGCTCATTACCTGAGGAAATCAACATGGGAGCCTGGTCAATCTCTTGGCACTCCAGTGGCAATTAGGGGAACTGACTGGTGCTAATAAGTATGTGAAAATACATATATGAGGAATATTTAGTATGGTTTATAATAATGAAATATAGAACCAGCTTAATGATTCTTGTCTGGTTAAAGGAAGCATGAAACATTCCTACCATGAGTACTATTTAGTCACCAAACGTTGTAGAAGGATAATGACATGGAATCATATTTTTGAAATATTGTTGAGTGGAAAAAAGCAGATTATAACAGGATATATAATTTTACTCAATTTGTTATTTAAATCATATTTAAAAGCCTTTAAAGACCTAGCCAAAGTATTAGATGTTGGTTATCACCTTGTGGTAGAGAATAGGTGATTTTAATTATGACTATTGTTGTTGTTGTTATTTATTTTCATGTTTATTTATGTCTATCTGCACTTTCCAATTTTTCCACAACAAACTATACTGTTTAATTAGTAAATTTTTTAAAAGATACTTTAAAAACAAAAGAAAACTCTCTGACCTTACTTCTACTCTACCTCCACCTCCAATCCCGACTATACTAGAAACACATTCTTACTCTTACTTTCTCAAGTCATCAAAGCATTTTCTCTGTATGAAAGCGTGTTCTCCCTAAGAAATCATTTGGTTCATATTCAGAGAAGAAGCTGTCTAAACTCCTATCTTGGAAAAAGTGATGTAACTACAGAGAGTGTATTGGAATTTAAATTCAGTTCAGTTGTCGTTATTTCCTCTTCCTTTCCCAGTATTCTTATAGGTGAACCAGTCCAATCGAAGTACTAGAAGATTCAATCGGGCAAGTGTAGTGTTTGGCTTGCTGGATTCCAAGAGAGCGGAGCGTGTGCTGTTGGCTTGCAATGAGGAAGTATCTGTCAGGCAAAATTAAATTGTCTTCCATCTCAAACTGTCTTTGCCTTTGTTTTCTCATTTCAAACATGCAATTGAAAAAATGATAATAGCCTTATTACTGTTTTAATTATAAAACAGTACACAGTTATTGCAAAAAAGTTTATAAAATATAGAAAGAAGAAAACATACTCATAACTCTAGCACCCAGAAATAAACATTGTTTACATCTTGCTATATCTTCTTCCAAATTTTTCCATGCTTACATTACTGTTACCAAAGTCCTACCCTAAAGTCATTAAGAAGTCTCCTATATTGTTTTCAAAAAGTTTTATAGTTTTGTCTTTTATATTTAAGTTATTCAGAATAAATTTTTGCATCGTGTGATGTAAGGTCTAATTTTATTTTTTTTTAATATTGTGAGAAGCTATACTTTCCCACTCATGAACTTTGAACTGAATTCCTGTGCCTAAAGGAAGTTCTGGGGATAGAGAAAAGCAGATAGTTGCAATAAATTCCAAGAAGCAATAAATTCTGAGGAGCAAAACCAGATTCTGAGCAATGAGCACCCTGAACTGGAACCAGCCAAGCAGAAAAAGGTGTGGGAATGTTGACAAAAGACCATCCATCCACTGAGTCAGCCAAACTGCCCTCCCGGTACTTTTCCACCCTAAGTTTGCCTCAATAAAAACTTTAACTAAATTTTGTGCAAGGGAATCACTCACTCTGAAGTTCCTCTGATTGCAGTAGTTTAGATAAAGTACCTACCTTCACCTGTAACCAGTCTTGGTTTCCCTTTTGATAATATGAATCCTTGATATGCCCCAGTGCCACTTATGCAAATCTGTCCTTTCCCTACTGCTCTGCAATGTCACTTTCGTGTTTTTTTAATTTAATTTTTAAAAATTGAAGTAGAGTTGACATAATATTGTGTTAGTTTCAGGTGTACAGCAAAATGATTCAGTGTATGTATTCCTCTTCATATTCTTTTCCATTATAGGTTATAACAGGATATTGAGTACAGTTTCCTGTGCTCCTTATTTATCTCTTTTATATATAGTACTTAGTATCTGCAAATCGAACTCCCAATTTACCCCTTCCCACCCCCTTTCCCCCTGGTAACCATAACTTTGTTTTCTATGTCTGTGAGCCTGTTTCTGTTTTGTAGCTAAGTTCATTTGTGTCCTTTTTTAGATTCCACACATAGGTGATATTATAAGATATTTGTCCTCTGTCTGACTTATTTCACCTAGTATGATAATCTCTAGGTCTATCCATGTTGCTGCAAATGGCATTATTTCATTCTTTTTCACTCTTTTTATGGCTGAGTCATATATATAATATATAATATATATACATATTATAGGTCTTGCTATCTAGAAGACAAGTCCCCCCCCCCACATCGTTCTTCTAGAATGCTTTGGCTATTCTTGTTCTTTACAACTCCACACACATTTTAAAATTCGATTACCCAGTTTCACAAAACATATTTGCTGAGATTTTAGATTGTCAAGTGTCACAAAACCTATCTGTTGAAATTTTTCATTGGAATTGCATTGATACATATACCTAGGACTGAAATTGGTGGCTCAGAGGGTAGATGCATGCTCAATTTTCAGAGATAATGAAAACCTGTTTTCCTCAATAATACTACCAATTTGTACTCCCAGGAGCAATGTTCTTGGGCATGGGAGCCATCAATCATGTGAGCTCAGCGTCTTAGCAGAGAAAACTGGGAGATCTGGCTTCAGACTCTTGCTCTCGGATTTTCCCGTGTTGGCTATGAGGTACTGGAAGGTGCAAATAAGATTACATAAAGTGATTAAGTGCTTATAATACTGTGAGGTTACTCGCTTGGGGTCAAGGGGGCAAGGCCTTTATCAGGTAAAGATGTGCACAGATGGTCGGCCGACCTGAGCTCTGTAAGCCAGTAGATGTTTGTTTTGTTCATAAAGTGTTTCGTCATTTAGGCCGCTGTTTTAACGCCACGAAGGAGCCAGGATATTAAATATTCCACTGATCCATCAATTTTCGGTGGCATTCACAGTAGGAGATGTAGCCTAAGACGAGTAAAACCAGTTTCCTTTTGGAGGCAATCAGGTCTTCCATCGCTGAACTGCAGACAGCCATGTAAATGACAGGGTACCAGCAGCACAGGCGCTAAGAGGCACTTTCTCAACGTCCTGCGCCCTCATCGATTTATGGGTAGAGCCTGGAGTTGCAGGGACGGCCGTCGCAGCCCTCAGATGCTTCCCAGCATCCCCCCGAATTCGGCCAGGCTGTGCGTCGGGTGTTCACACAGCGCGAGTCTGGGGGCCTCTGCGGTTCGGGGGCCGGCCTCATTCCTAGGCGCCCCTGTGGGATTCAGCCCCAGGGCCCTCAGCAAGAGCGGCGCCTCCTTCCGGCGCTCAGGGGACCGGCGTGGGCGGGGCGTGGGCGGGGCGTGGGCGGGGCGTGGGCGTGCGCGGAGCTCCTCCCGCCCGGCGCGCCGCCTGCGGGGTGGTGACGGGCCCGGCCGCGTCGCGTCCCCGCCGCCTCTGCTGCCTCCGCGCCGCAGGCCCCGAGCCCTTGCACTCCAGACTCTGCCGGGCCCCGCGTCCCCGCTTCCCCGCGTCCCCACGTCCCGGCTCCGGCAAGATGACGCTGAAGGCGAGCGAGGGCGAGGGCGGGGGCAGCATGCGCACGGCGCTCTCCGACCTCTACCTGGAGCACTTGCTGCAGAAGCGCAGCCGGCCCGAGGTGAGCGGCCCCGCGGGTCTCCCGGGCGCGGAGAGCGGGGCGCGTACTCGTCTCTAGGCCGCGCCGCCCGCCGCGGTACCTGCCCCGTCTGCGGCCCTCTCCTCGGGGGTTCTGCCCCCGGGGCGGAGGCCGCGGCGGCCATCGGGGTTCGTGCGGGACTTCGGGTCGTCGCCCCTCGTCGCACTTCCAGATGGGAATCGGGAGAGGCCAGGGCTCTGATTAAGGTCAAGGAAAACTTCTTCATGGACGGAAGTAGGGTAACAGAAAGACTTGAAGGAACGGATCCAAGAGTGAGTCTGCTTAGTTGTTGTCGAAATGCTTGTTTTTATGTCAGCGGAAAGGCTGGTAAAAGCCGAGCCTGCCTCAAAAGTGCTCACTCATTGTCCCTCTGCATTTAGGCAGGGCCCCGGGTACTAGGGTGCAGATGGGTGGCCCGTGGCAATTTGTGAGCAGAGGATCATTGCAGAGGTAATTCTGCCCTCCAGATTCCTGTGATGGCCAGTAATTACTGCTAACCTCTGTCCCCAGGGATGCCCGGAAGGGAGGGTGATCATTTTCTTGTTATCTCTCAGACTTCTGGGTGTGGCGTGGACCCAGCAAGGTAAGGTTGTCACTCAGGGCCTCTCCCACCCAGGCACTGCCAGCAAATGCTTCCGCACTCACTCTAAACGCTGAGGCCATCTCCCAATTGGAGCCATCAGCCACGGCACAGGCTGGCGGCCCCCCATGTACCCCAGCCTTCCCTGGCATGGTGGCCAGGCCCCAAAAGTAAATGTCCACAGAGACAAAGAAACAGAGAGGCAGGCAGAAGCTGTGTTGCCTGTGATAACCCAGCCTCAGAGCTCGCAGACTGGATCTCTTTCCTAAACTGCAAGGTCTTCCAGGGCACAGCTGTTTCACCCTCACTTTTTACATTTTAAAAGCCTAGTAAGTGGGTCCTCAGACATGTTTGCTAAATTAATAAGTGACTGGAGAGGTCGACATTAGAGATTCAGCAAAAACTTCCACTTTCACAGATGAGAAAACTGAAGACCCATGAGGTAAAGCAGGCTGTAGAGCTGGGGATTCTGAAACGATAAGCGTCAGAACCCAGGCCAGAGCTTGTATCTGCAGCGCTAAAGCTCAGTGTGCTGTCTGCTTCGCCACATCGTCTCTCCTTTCCACTGCAGTCAGAGTGCACCCTGCAAACCTGCCTGTCATTTCAAATCAAGACTGCAGTAGTCTAGGCTTAAAGGAGTGGCAGAAGGGGAACAGGTGGTGAAGACACTATGGTTGTTCAGATAACAAGACAAAATTAGAAGTTACGCGGTAAAATGTGCACTAGGAGGAAATCAGGGTCTAAAACTACCTGCTACCTCATGAGCTTGGACATGTGATTTTTTTTATGGAGGCACTGGGGATTGAACTCAGGACCTCAATGCATGCTAAACATTCGCTCTACCACTGAGCTAGACCCTCCCCTAGCCCTGATTTTTTTTTTTTTTGATTCCTCAGTCAGCTCACTTGGCTGAGTCTTAACTTTTTCAAAAAAAACTTTCTGAAGTTTACTTTTAGCAACTTCATTGAGGTATACTTAGCAGATATATAATTCACAAATTTGATTGTACAGTTCCATGGCACTTGACAGATGCATACAATCATGTAATCATAAGCATAATCATAATGTAGAACATTTGCATCACTCCAGAAAGTTCCCTCGTAGTCCTTTATTAGAGTTATTCCTTCCACCCCTGGAAACCTGGAAACCACCCTGAAAACATCTGGGAAACATGAAACTTGGTCTTTTTAAGACTGTCTTCTAGATGGAATCCAACAGTGTGCAGTCTTTTCCGCCTGGCCCCTGCGCTCAGCACAACCTGAGCCTCAGCGCCCAGACCTCAAGTAAAGCTGTCTGCTCCTCGTGAGTAGGCTTGAGAGACTGTGTGCATTTTTGAAGAGAGGCCCTGTGGAGCTGTGAGTTTGTCCTGGAATGTTGGAGACAGTCTACTGGTTAGGCAGTTGGTTTGGCTGTATGTAAGGATATGAATAAGAAGAAAACTTGCTAAACTTCCACAGGGTGAGAGGTTGCTTGACCCCCTGAGACCTGCCTGTCCAGTAGCAGTCAGCATGTTTTCCTGGACAGGCAAGAACCAGGAAAACTTCTAAGGAAGTCACTGGCTTGAGAGGAATTCATAAACTTATGTTGCTTCATTTAGGGGGTGTTGCTTTCTACAACAGTTCTAAGCACTCAAAACCCAAAGTTTCACTTCTGATCGTAGTCCACATTTACTATTGAAAAAGCATTGTCAAAAGATAATTTTGCAGTAAGTTTGAACTATATCCTGCCTCCTGTATTTAAATATACATTTTCTACCATGGGGAAACTGATTTTATAAGCCGTCTCTGGCCTTCTTTTTGTGTGTTGTAGGGGGAGGCAATTAGGTTTATTTATTTATTTTTATTGATGGAGGTGCTGTGATTGAACCCAGGACCTTGTGCATGCTAAGCACGCGCTCTACCCCGAGCTATAAATTCCCCCATCTCTGGCCTTATTATTTATAGCAATCCATTAGTGCACATAAAATTGGTTGTAAAATTCCTAATAATGCTTTTCTCTTCAGTCCTACTTGAAGTAGCACTTTTCCCATGACCGGAAGCAATAGGTTGACAGTCCCTGAAAATTCACGTGGGCCTATCTCACATCGAGAATGACCTAAGAACTAAGTCAGGCTCCAGGTGAGTTTCCACTAAGAAGACCTGTCTGTTGGCTCTTAGCCGTCAGATGCCACATGACTGCACACTGCTAGTCACTCATTCTGATGCAGCATTGTCATTGCCTGCTGTGCCCAGGCCTGGTGCCGGGACCAGGAAGGGAATAAGGTGTTGGAGCCTGACTCTTGGCGGGTTCAGGATATAATTGGCAAACAGAGGTCCAGGGCAAGGGGCCTCCATGTGCAAAGATTCTGGGCTGACAAGGTCTTGTCCCCTGGGGCAAGGGAGATAGAATCAGTTGACATTTCTCTGATGGCAGAGATTTTTCCCCTAATCGGTGAGTTGCTCAAATCTTGCACTGTTGCTAAAAAAGGAGGAGTCTGGGAGGAGGGTAAGTGACCGCAGGGTCGGGAACAGGAAGAAAAGCTCTGAATTAGGGAACCAGAGTACAGGTTTTGTAACATGGAATTTTCTTTTCGGATTATTCACTTTGTCCCTTCATATAGAGAAATATACATAAGCAAAATACAGACAGTTGACTCTGGAGCCAAGTTGGGAGAGCTACCCTCCAGGTGGTTGGCCACTCCGTATAACTGGTAGTTGGCCATTCTTCCGGAACCGCGGTTCACCTGTCACCTCGATTCCGCGTCCATGGAATCAGCCCACTGTGGGCCGTGCGGGGCTGTAATATTTGCTAGGGAACAAATCCGACTGTAACTGGAGCCGTGCAGTTCAGAGCTGTGATGTTGCAGCCCCAGCTGTGTCGGTTTTTGCCTTTTCTGGACAGGTGCCCTGTGCTGCTTTATCTGCCTAGTTCATTGTGATTTGAAGACAGCTCTTGCCAGAAAATCCTGACTCTTAGGCTTTCCTCTCCCCCCAGCTCTGTCCCCCAGCTCTTGTCATTTGTGGTTAAACAGTGCTAACCTGTTTCTAATACCTTCAGCACACTTGGTTTTCTCGCACTTTTTCTTGTTTTTTGTTTTTTTGTTTTTTTCTGCAAAGCAGAATATGATCTTGACCAGACCTAGGTCTGTGGGGGGCTGGCAGCTGTGGCTGGGCAGGTCCCAGGGTCTGCCCTGTCCAGTGATCACTTGCCTCCTTGGCCTGGGCCTTGTTTGTTTGTGTTTTTTTTATTTTTTTTGGTGGGGGAGGTAATTAGGTTTATTTATTTATTTATGATTTTTTTAGAGGAGGTACTGGGAATTGAACCCAGGATCTTGTGCATACTAAACATGCCCTGTACCACTTGAGCTATACCCTGCCCTGGCCTGGGCCTTCTGAGCCTCCGCGGAGAAGCAGTTGGCAGAGAGCCTCATGGTGGGCTGGGCGAGCATTTGTTCTTAGCTGTGTTCGCTGTCACTGGCTCTTCATCCAATTGGATGAGAAGCCAACTTTTTAGTCGCCCCTGCTCAGTTCACCCACCTCACCATCACCCCACCTCAGCCAAGTTTGCCATCTCTTTTTAATACCAGCTTACTTTTAGCGACTGCCCCTGCCCTTTGAAACCTGCAGATGTTTCCTCAGAAGGGCTTTCAGAGCAGGAGGCGTGGCCACTCCGGCAGTTCGTGTGATTAAAGGCCAGGAGGCTGCAGAGCAAAGGGCAGCCATCTTCCACCAGAGCCCCTCCTGTCCTGCCCAGTCCCTGGTGGGGAACTCGGCTGAGTGCAGTCTGCTACCTTTCACGTCCATTGCTCGTCCACCATCGCTCATGTCGCTCATATCGCTCATGTCACTTCCAAGTCGCTTGGTGGTGGGGAGGACTCAGAAACCGGCTCCAGCCTGGGAAGACAAAGTAAAGGGAATACACAGATACGTATCTTTAGAGCACGTTGGAAGGTATTAGCAGCTGTGGAAACAAGAAAACAGAGGAGTGCAGGGGCCCCATGACCAGATGAGCAGGTAGACCCTGGGGCAAAGTCATGGCCTTCCCTGTTCTTGGTCTGGGCCTCTGAGCAGTAGGATGGCCTGGGGCCAACTTGTGTCTGCAGCCCGATTCCTCCCTGCTTCCCCCCTGCTTCCCCGTCCCCCTGTGAGGCTCTGTTTGCTTATTTCGAGGAAAGTTGTTACCCCAGTCTGTGTTCTTTGACCACCTTAAGCTTGATGGAGGCTATATTTCCCATATGTCCTCTCTGCTGCGTGAATGAATGATTGAGTGGCTCCTCCTCAGACCATGACTTGACAAACTTGATGATGCTGGGATCTCGTGCACTTTGTGCGGGCCCAGAGCCGCAGGCTGAACTGAGGAATCACCTTTACCCTGTGTCTGTCCTTTAGTTCCCACATCTGAGGTGTCCGTTGATCTTAGTCAC